GTGTAGTGATAATCATAAAATTTGAGAATACAAAATTTTTATTTAAGTCTATTATTCTGTGAAGTGTTGATAATACTCTGAAGAGTTTTGGTTTAAAAAAAAATATTTTAACTACTGTAAAAATATTTTGAGAAAAGTGCACATTTTTTGTTCTCAAGAAAATTTTAAAGTTTCAGTTACAATGTCGACAAATCAGGAACCCGTTAATCTTGACGATTCACTGAACGTGAATCAAGATACAATAGATTTAAATATTATTCCATTTGAAGATTCTAAGGACAGTGACATAATTTCTTGGTTAAGGTTATTTTAACAAAGTCTGCCAAAATAAGGACGAAAATTGGAAACTTCAAAATATTTCTCGTTACATTAAGGGAAAAGCCCTCTGGCTCTATATTAAAAATTGCCAATGAGCTAAAAACTTACTCAGAATTTGAACAAATATTAAAAAGAAAACTTTATCGATCCCACCTTAACTACTTTCGGCGACTTCGCTAATTTAAAATATAACGCCAGAGAAGACATCACAAATTACTTTCGAAAGAAAATGGAAGTGGGTAAGCGGTTTAATTTGGATAAATCAATGATTTTAGAAGGTTTGACAGATGGTTTGCCAACGAACTTAAAGTCTTTGATGATTGTTCAAAGTCCCGCTGATCCGATAACTTGGCTAGAACAAGCCTACAAACTTCGACAAATTCATGAATTTAAAGATGAAAATTCACAAAATTATAACAGAGATAGGAATAATCAACAATTCAGACAAGCTAATTTCCGAAATAATAATCGTCAGTTTGTTGATAATCGACCCAATGCATCTAATTACAAACCTCATAGTTTTCAACAAATTGGAAATAAATCTAACAGCAATATCAACAACGGAAAGAAAGTTGTAAGTCACCATACTAATAGTAATTTTGACGGTATAGCCCCATCACCTTGTAGAATATGTACCAAAAAATGGATACCAAATTGTTATCACTGGGCTCAAATCTGCCCATTCCGAAATGAGAACAACAAAACTGAAACTAATTCTAATGTGGAAAACAAAAATTCGGGGTCTGATTCTTCGGGAATTTGACACCTAAGAATTAAGGGATTTTTATCCCATGGCAGATCTGTCGACTGTGTCGTGGACACTGGCGCGACATTGTCTATCACCTCAGAAAAATCTGCAAACAAGTTACAGTTAAAAATTCAAAAGGTAAAAGGTATTAAAATTAAGACAAACTAAAGAAATTTTTTTCTATTGATAAAATGTGTAGATTACAAATGAAAATTGGAAATATTATTAAATTAATTAACTTGTTAGTGTTAGGTACTAATTTAGATTATGTTCTTTTGGGTTTAAATGAATGTAAATATTTGAATTAAAAATTGATTTGTAGTAATTTAGTGGTAACTCAAAGAAATGAAAACATTTCAAATTCTGTGAATGTAAAAACAGAGTTTCTTTGCATGTACAACTTGATCAAGTACTTGAAAATACCAGTAATGTAATGCCATCAGTTAAGACAAAACCTAGAAGTAATATCTCTGAGGTAATAAGTGTTGATGAAAATAATATATCTAATGAAAATAATGTGTCTAAAGGTATAATAGTTAATGAAGGTAATAAGTCTAATATTATGAAGTTTAATGATGATAAGATGTCTAAGGTAACAAGAGTTACAATGTAAATAATGAAAGTAATGTAAAACTAAAAATTCAAAACAGTGATGTGAAAAAACAAAGTAGTGAAATAACAACAGATTCAGAGAGTATGGAGGAAGAAAACCCTGAATTAATTAAATTGTTAAATAAATATAAGAATGTGTTTTCCAAAAATAAATATGATGTAGGTAAAATTAAACATTGAACCACAACTAATTAACTTGACTTCTGATTTGCCTGTCACTTTAAGACCTTATCGAACTTCCTCTAAGGAAGAAGAAGAAATTAGACGACAAATTGATCAATTATTAAAAAATGGAATTATTAAAGAAAGTAGTAGTTCTTATGCATCCCCAGTAACTTTAGTATTAAAACGCGATGAGGGCAAAAAAATCAGAATGTGTATTGATTATCGTAACTTGAATGCTTTAGCAAAGACTGATGCTCATCCCCTGCCCCGGATAGACTTTTATTAGACAAATTAAGTTAATGCAAATGTTTTTCTACAATAGATCTAAGATCAGGGTTTTGGCACATTCCTATTCACCCTGATGACCGAAAAATTGGCTTTTATTACAAATTTTGGACTGTATATGAATGGCTAAGACTCCTTTTGGCTTCAAAAATGCACCGGCTGTCTTTAACAGAGTTATTAAACGCATCCTCACTAAAAATAAATCCAATTTGCTTGTAGTATTTTGATGACATAATTGTATACTCTTCTTCCAAAGAACAACATCTAAAGCATTTGAGTGAATTATTTGAAATATTTATTCAAGAAGGTATTAAATTGAACCAGAGTAAATGTGTCTTTGCCAAAGATAAAATCAATTTTCTAGGTTATGAAATTAGAAAGGTTAAAGTTACCCCAGATAACCAAAATATTGAAAGTATTAAAAATTTGAAATATCCAAGTAATGTAAAAGAACTACAAAGAGTGTTAGGCAGTGTAAATGTTTATCATAGATTCATACCTAATTATGCTAAATTAAGATCTCCTCTAAATAAATTATTGAAAAAAGATGTACTATGGCATTGGGATGATCAATATCAAACTGCTTTATACGAACTGAAAAATATTCTTATTTCAAAACCAGTCTTACAATTGTATGATCCAAATAAACCTTGTCATATTTTTGTTGATGCATCACAGATTGCTGTGGCAGCTGTTTTGAAGCAGCCAGATGAAAGTAATGTATTACACCCAGTTTCCTACCATTCTAGAGCTTTAAAAGATCATGAAAAAAATTATGCAATTACAGAACTTGAATGCTTAGCTATTGTTGATGCATTAGATAAATTTTATTACTATCTTCACGGTCAAAAATTTACAATCCTGCTGACTCCTTGTGATGTATCAGCTTTAGTCGTAGCTTAAATAATCAGACGATAAGTTTAAAAAACAGGATCCATTTATTATTATTCAGGAGAAATAGCAGTTACAAAAATCAGATATCCGGAGTAAATAAAAAGAATTACTAATAACTTTTTGTATGAAGTTTACTGCATTGTGACATTAAGAAAAAGCCCCAATATTCCTTTTGCAAGTCTTTTTATAGCCTCTGGAAAGGCGGAGCTTCCAAGAAATGACGTCAGCCACTCCAGTGTGCTTTAAATATCTCCAGAACATTCTATAACTGTACGTGTAGAAAAGGCGGGAAAAACAACTTGACTACGGGGCTGTGGATTTAATTCCACGTACTTTCAAATAAGAGAACGTCGCCATTAAAATTGAAAAAGCATACAGTTAGAATTTTAAGTGTATTCTTGATTATGGAATTTTATTATTACAAATATATATATATATATATATATATTGCCATTTGCACACCCTATTAGCTATATTAAATGTGTACACATAAAAAATATTAAATTAAAAATTGGTTACCATTTTAAATATCAAAATTCCAAAATTTAGTATGAAATTTGAAATTTGGACCTGTTTAAGAGAGATCAATTTCTTTTTGTCTAGTCTTATTTCACTTAACTTTGACCATAAATTAGGATCCACTTTTAATTTTGTTCTTTATTTCAAATTCTGTTCACACAAATAGATTCTGCAAAAAGGCAATAAAAATGTAATAGCTTTATTTGAAATGCCATTAAGTTATTTTTGGGGGTTCAGCCAAAAGGTAACAAGTGTGTTATTTTTATAATCTTCAGTTAGAGTTCGATAACAGGGAATTTCTATCGATTTTACTTTTTCTTCACGAGATTTTTGACTTTAATAGTTAAAAATACCTTATTTGTTTGCATACTACCTATTTTTCTCCTGCATACTACCAGTGGCACTCGTACCATGGGTTGAGAATCACTGGTCTAGATTATAATGTAAAGTTTCTTTAAAATTGAATGGTATGCTGCAGCATTTAGTTGCTTCCTACAGAATGAAGGTCATCAGCAAAACACTGCATTTGACCCCAAAATATGGTTTTACAAAAACACAAATATTTTTCTTGTCACTTAAAATTTTACCATCAACAGAAATTATGTGTGTTGTCACTACATTGATTGCTATTTGAATTCGGATCTACCTATGTTTCATCACTTGTGATAATATATCTCAATAGTTCATAACATTTCCTGGGAAATCGTATAAAGAAATATCAAAGCATTAACTAATCTGTTGATTTTGTGTTCCCCAGTAAGCTGCTTTGGAACTCATTGATAGCACAACTTCCTGCAGCCGAAATTTTCTGATACAGTTTTATAAACAATTGATCACCTTATGAGCACTTCACCGAAATATAGAAGTGGTGAATCATTTGTTTTTAAAAAATCATGGTATCTGCTACATGTACAAGATCAGCAATTACAAATGATTGAGCCAAGCATGGGGGTTTCTCCTGTATGTTCTCTTGGCCTTCCTTAAAAGTCTCACTCACTCACAAAATTTGCCATAATTTGGCATTTAGACTATACATTTCACAGATTTGATGAAGAATCCTTGCTGTAACATTTCTTATAATTATATTTCAGTAATCATTATATTTCAGTAAATGAAATAATAGGCCTTATTTTATAAACTATAGGCTGCTCGATCTTCTTAAACATTTCCATCTCACAATACAAAAAACTGCACATTCTTTTGAGATGATTTGAAACAACATCTGTTTCAATATGAGGAAGATGTTGTGCATGTGCAAAATTACATATTCGTGTACTTTAGAAAGGTATTGCCAAATTATCCTTACCAAAAAATCTCAAATGTTTTTATGTATAATAAAATATGTCTATTTTGTATGCAGGTTTTGTTTTCTGTTCGATATCTGTGATTTATGTGCAGCTTCCTCCTAATTCGCAGTAAGTTTTCTACATATTTGTGTTCTATTTATTTATTTTTTTAGTTGATCAGATATATCATCTTGCATCTCCTGCATCACCCCCACACTATATGTTTAATCCTGTGAAGACAATTAAAACAAATACTATAGGAACAATAAATTTGTTAGGTATGTTGGACTGAATTTTCTTTTATAAATTGAAAACATTCCTTATTCATGATTATGTGGTCGAAAATAAAAACACATTAAAACAGATATTACTTTGTGTAATTTAAAATAAGCAGTGTTAATTTAGATGCTACTTAACTGTAGATATGTATGATAAATTTTGTTGGCAAATATCAAAACTTGGAGATTTGAGGTAATTGCAGAATGATGCTACTAAAGCAATTTGATTAACTGAATATAATAACAGTAATAAATGTTGATATGCAGTTATCATCTGTTAATATTCTCTCAATAGGTTTAGCTCGAAGAGTTGGAGCTAGGATCCTAGTTGCTTCAACTTCTGAAGTTTATGGAGATCCTGAAGTTCATCCACAGAGTGAAGATTATTGGGGCCATGTTAATCCTATTGGTCCACGATCTTGCTATGATGAAGCAAAGCGTGTAGCTGAAGCTTTAAGCTATGCATATGCAAAACAAGTAATTAAAATCATAGAAATAATTATATTTTTGCTTATTTTGTACATGCTATTTCATTCTAATTAAACTGATTTGTGTGAAGAATATATTCTAGTTTCGTTTTCTTAGGCTTTACAGATTTACTGAAGCTGTGTAGAAAATTAAAAAATTAATCTAAAAATGAATTGATGCTTCAGCTTGTTTCATAGGTGTATATAAGTTTAGACGATTGGTTTATTTGCATGTTTGGTAATGTAAGTAGTATTTTTTTTTTTTTTTTTTTTTTTTTTAGTTAGTTTTAAATTTGACATATAAACTGGTTTGCTAGTCAGGCTAAATTTTTTCAACTTATCTGTCAGTTTATATATGGATTGGCTTATATCCAGAAATATACCCAGTAATTCATAAACATTCCTTATTCATGATTATGTGGTCGAAAATAGTACTGATATAGATTGTACTTTATTAGTCCAAAACTCTCTAGTCCAGCAATTTCTAATTTGGTGCATTTTGTATCTGCTGCCATTAGTTTGGAGTCTTCTACCAGCATGGTCCTCTTAGTGGAACTCAAAATTGAAAATTTATATTTAATGTAATCGAGTATGTTTCAGCTTCACAGTCCTGTTAATTTCATATATACAGCAGTATTATTGCCCTGGAAGATATCAATTAATCATTTGCACTCGAGGCCTTTTTTGGTTGGGTGAACAAGCAACTCGAGATGATTTTAGCTTTAATTTTTTCTAAACCTTAAAATATTCTTTATATATATTTTTCCAAGCGAATGCTATGCTGAGACTGATTAAACTAAGCTAAGATTTGGCTAAGAATGCAAGCCGAGCTTGGTCCACGAAAGCACTTCAGATAAGAATATCTCCTCACACATTATAAATAAATAAATCGAGTTCCAAAATGCCATATTGCCAGTACAGTGCGCATTGAGTGGTGGATTCAAACCTCCTGGGCACCATAGTGGTGCCGCTCAAGTGGATGCTTCAAATCAGCTGGGCGCAATAGCGCCACCACTCGAGTGGATGCATCAAACCTTCCAGGTGCCATAGCAGCGCCACTCAAGTGAACCCTTCAAACTGGCCTAAGCACTGATCGAGTGCAAAGGGTTAACATATCAAGAGTACAGAAGATGTTACTATACATGCAGAAGGTGGTGCTATACATATTAAGATTATATTTATTGTATGTGCAAAAGATGATAATATACATATGAAGATACTATACATGCGGAAGATGATAATATACATATGAAGATAATCCGTTACATGCAGAAGATGATCCTATATATAGGCATAAATCTTTGTATATCTATGTTTTAAAAGTTAGATTTATTAGAGGAGGGAACAAACTAATAGAATCCCAGTAAAAACATTATGTGAAGTTGTCAGTTTTTATTTAAGTGTTTATAATGTAAAAGGAGATGATATTAAAGATATTTTGATGAAGAAGTTATGTAATTTCATAACCAAATGCTTTCCTTCATTTACAGCATTTTCATTTTTATTTAATGTAAAATGAAGCTTGATTTTTATTCACTATATTTATATTTTATTGCTGTTATGTTCATTAAGAATTTTTCCAGATATTTTTAATTTTATATAGAATTATTATGTGTAAAATTTAATATTTTCTCTCCCACCATAAAAAAAATTCTAACTATACTTTTAAAATTTATTCATTATGTCATTTAATTTGTTTATTTATCCATATCTACTTAATAGATTTCTACTTGTTAACTTGAAATTTCATTTACTTGACACACACACAAAGAAAAAAAAGTGGGAGGGGAAGAAAAGAGAAACTTTGTTGAATGCATAGTGTTAATTACATATATGAGTTTATCTATTTCATCAAAAAGCTCAAATTTTATAAATGCATAATGTTTTCTATTTCATTTAATTGTGGTAGTTATTAAAAACCCATATTATGAATTAAATATATGTGTCATATAAATTTTTCCCTTGAATTAGGAGAAAGTAGAAGTTAGAGTAGCTCGTATTTTTAATACATATGGTCCAAGAATGCATATAAATGATGGTCGCGTAGTCAGCAATTTCATTCAACAGGCTCTACAAAACCATTCAATAACAGTAAGTAAAGTGTTGTATTTCTCCTTACTTTTGCAATGTCATATGCACTTGTTCCTTTTTTTTAATGTTGTGTATTAGCCTGAGAAAAACATAGTTTTTATTGAGGGGGTGGATATGCTTTATAACAGAGGCAGCCAATCTTGGACACATCTGGTTATAGTAGACCATTTAAAGGTTAAATTAAATTTAATGTGGATACAGAAATCTAATTCTGTTGCCTTAAATTCATTGTTATATGAATGACATATTTTTTTCTTCGCCCCTAAATCTAAATTTTGTTATTTGTGACCAACAAATCAACATTTTTTGACACTGCTAATGGAAAATTTAATAGATTGCAGATTAATAGCAAATTATGGTAGAATGAAAGTATGACAGAGAAATCAGAATCATTAACCAGTTATCCAAGTTTTAATTAGTAGATCTCTACATGAAACAAATTCAGCTATCTTGAAGTCGAATGACAAATTCCTGTGGAGCACATGTATACAACATTTTATTAGTACACAATGTGTCATTTTAAATTTGCTTGAAACAAGACCTAATATGAGTGTCACAGGAAAAGATGAAAGTATTTTGCAGTAAATTTAGCCTGTTACTGCCTATGCATTTCCATGAATAAAATGTTATTCAGAAAAGTGATTGGTTGCATTGCAGTTAATCTTAGTGATGATTTTCACTTCTCAGATTCTTAACGAAGCCTCAGATTGCATTTTATGTATTTTTATCTTCCTTTGAGCTAATAAGCATGAAATATAAATACATACTCCTGTTGCATATTAATTTTTTTGTCATTTTATGTACTCTATGTATTCAATTTCTTTCATGTTATAGCTTATATTGATTGTCATTACCTCATGATGTCCCACTATTCCAAGTTGTGTTGGTGTTAGTACAAGGTGTCCCACAAAGGACCCTCGTTTTTAAAATTAAATAGTTCAAAAAACAAAGATCGATAAAAGAATTAAACAAAAGGTATTTTTGTTGAAACAGCTGTAAAAATCTGATACAGAAGTTTCACATTTAGTTACAAAAGTTGCCAATAGGGGCTGCTGTACGCTGTACTACCAAGAAGGAGTCCCTATTAAGACTGATCTGAAGTCCAGAGAGATCAGTCTGTGGACAGTTTCACAGTTAAAAAGTGACAGGATGTTAGGGTATCGAAGCATGTGCATAAAATCATGTATTGCATAGAATGTGTTTTTATGGTACTAGAATTTCACAAGTTAAGTTACAGTTCTGTGGCAACAAGGCACAGTTTTCAATCCTCATTCTACATTGCAAAAGGTCCTGATTTGAAAACTTTTGTGTTCTTTTTGATAAATTTCAATGAACAGGGAGCATATTTCTTAAATTTCACTGTTTCTTTTATTGGTCCACATTTATAAAAACTGCTTAAGCATTTATGATTTAAATATGTCTAAAACAGTGATAAAATTTAAATTTCTAAATTGCATTTAGAAAAATAGGAAAAAAATTTGTGTTTAGTGAAGATTATAATTTTTTTCTTTCATTTATGAATTTTATATTGTCCTCTTGCTAAATTTAAGGTTGCTAGTAATCTAGGAGAAGAAATTATAAATCTCTTTCTTTGAAAAGATATAATTGTTGTCTGATGGAATTTTTATTCACATGACATGAAAATTTATATTTGTGTACTAAATATTTTGCAGATTTATGGCACTGGAAAGCAAACTCGATCATTCCAGTATGTTAGTGACTTAGTGGATGGACTTGTTTCACTTATGAACAATAATTACTCGTTGCCAATTAATTTAGGCAATCCAGAAGAATATTCTATTGAGCAGCTTGCTACAGTAATTAAAGAATCAGTCGGTAGGTTTTTTAAAAATTTTTCTAGGATCTGTATAATTTTGAAAACGTGTTTATTTTATATAAAACAGAAAGAAAAGGGAACTTACAAATGGAGTGACTGAATACTGTAATTTATTATAACATATATGAACAATAATTACTAGTTTATTCAATTGAATGAAGATATGGAATACGTCTTATTCATGCTCTTCTATTTTGTGCAATTAAAATTAGTTTTGACATGTAGTCATCATTTTTTTTAAAAAAAAAACTTTTATTGTATTTATTATTATTTTAACTTTTATTATACTTAATTCTTGGTGAGGAGAACTTTTATGGCTTGAATTTTTAAAGAGTTTATTTATTTGTTTATTTTAGTATGTTCACTACAAACTGGCTTGTATATGAGCTTTATGATTTTTGAAGTAGACCAATGACTCATATGGGAGATGTGGTAGAGGCGTAGTCCTTTTTTTAGTTGGATTGTACCATATCATCTGTATGCATTTAAGCAATGCATAGTCTGTGAGAAACTATGACTCGTATTTGTTCTTATATGGTCTCGGGTTCTGACTTGTTGTTTATAGGTTATATTAATGTTTACACATGCAGTGCGTGTGTTTGTACTACATTATACATTTTGCAGAAAATTATATATGTATTTGTAATTAATAATTTTATAACTAATACATATATGCATGATATTAGCATTTTAATTAATTTTTGTGGAATATTTCCAATGATTTTTAATTTCCCATCATCATAAAGAGAAGAAAATGAAAGCTGATTGTTGCAGAATTGGAAGATGTAGTAAATAAAATACAAGAACATAACAAGTTTAAATGAGTCTATTTCTAATAACGATTAGTATCAAAATCTCTATGATGATTCTGATTGATTATATATCATTTCTATATGGATTGGTTACATCTGAAATTTCAGCATTAAATCATATTGAATAGGAAAGTAATCAAGAAAATCCTCTCATATATGATTTTACATGTTTAGAAAGGATAAACAGAATTTTGCTGAAAATGTTTTGCCCATGCATATATTTTGTACTTTTTCTGATGACACAGAATTCAATAAAATTGTGGAGTGGATAAATTCTAAAGCAGTTTGAGTATCCAGTAATGCAGAAAAAAATATCAAACATTCATTGGTAGAAAAAATATTGATACAACTGAACTAAAACAGTTTCTTGAACTGTGCATTGCAATGGGTAATGTACAAATGACTTAATATCAACTGCTATTGGTAAAAGAAGAAAAATGATATTTATACTTGTTTATAAATTACATTGAGATGCAACTGATTCAAAATGATTCTTCATTGTAAGAGAGCCGTTGAACAGCAGAGTGGTAAAGTCCTTGAACACTGGTAGTTTGGTCTGGGTTTCAAATCCTGGCAAATGGGCTGGCTGCATGGGTGTTTTCATAGTTTTCCCTATGTGTAATATGTATAGATTTTAGAATGCACAACTTTTCTTCCCTCACTTTACCTTGTAACATTTAAAATTTTTCTTTATGATTCGTTTCATAACGGCAGTATAAGTTGTAATCTTTTAGAACCGATATTCACTTATTACAAATAAAACATACAATTTTACTGTGCACAAGTCTACAAAAGTACATAATTTTCCATTTATCTTGAAAAGCATGTACTTCTTTTACAAATTTAATTCAACAGAATGAATCTTCATATGAAAGCAACATTCAAACATATTGCACAGTTTCATATAATTGGTACTGATCTAACAACAAGCTCAAATAACAGGTTTTACAAGCCATACCTTAGTTTTTCTCATCCATTTAACAATACGAATTGCTAAATGGATACATTCCAGCTTACTAGTGACTGACTCCAAAATATAAAATTTTGCCAACAACTGTTGGCTTGCGACATTATTGATTGTATGATATTTCACTTTATCTCACTCATTCCGGCTTGGTGTGCAAGCATACAAAGTCTCCGATTTTTTTCATTTCACTGATATTATAAATCTGTGCTGTTTGTTTCTTTTTCATTCAGTACCAATCGTGCATATTAACATAATCCATATGTCTGTAATGTTGTTTACGTTTATATTTAAAATGTTTGTTTGTTGTTTATGTTTATAATTTCCTGAAATTCAATGATTAATGTTATTTTTTGCGCCTAAACTTCTTTTGTGGGTCCATAAGAAACCTGTTATATGCATCATATATGTACTTTTGGCTATGTGCCAGGGCTAGCTTCGAACTCAGTTAAAATGTAATGGTTTCAGAAGTGTCTGCTAAACATTTGCAATCCATTGCACAATGAATTTAAGCTATATTGAAATCCATGAACACTATTAAAGCAATTGCATACCTGAAGTGTTTTGGTAAGTGACACCCACATGCCACTGCTATATATCATAATACGGTCAAAAGTCGTTAAGCCAGACTCGTTGGGACTTCGGCGATTCCAGATTATCGATTTTTCCGGATTATAGATCATCAGTTTAAATCTGGTAAGATGGAATGCAGAAATTATACAATTAAAAATATGAAACTGTAATTTATGAAATAAAGAGCAATTATGATCTAAAGGGTATCAAAATTTACAAAACAAAAGCTTAATATTTATTTGTTTACTTTATTAAACATTTCTTTCAGTGTAAATTGTTTAAGTTGCTTCGTTTTGTATGTGATAATACATTCTCTTTAATTCTATAAACAGACATAATTTCTTGTTCAGTTACAAAGTTCCACTGTTTAAGTCCTACAATTGCTGTGTTGAGAATACCGACTAATTTATCAATCGAAATTTTTTCGTTTTCAATAACCTCTGTCACTTTCTTCGCTATCAGAAGCGAATTATAATGACGAGGAACTTTGATTTAAATCATATCAAAGACAAGTACTCGAGATGAAATACTGCATTTAGTAAGAATTATAAGCCAAATAAAATAAAACATCTGCCCTGAAGATAAGGAGTGCTGACAGATCAACTTCCATTTTTTGCCGCGGTGTTAAAGATAACAAAGTTTAGATAAACAAAGATATGCTTTACCCATATTTTGCAGCAATTCCCTTTTTGTTTATGTACTCAAAACAGCTTTCGCTTGTAGATCCTTTACATATTAGTAATATATATCATAATTCTATTTGACATAATCGAAAGTTCAAGCTTACTTTTAAAATTGCTCTAACAGTCTGCAAAAATAATAAGCCGAATCCAATTTGAAGATTAAGGAACAAAGCAATCTGCAACTAACTAATTAGGTAATTTTGCTTAGCTTATACCGTCCGTTATACATTAAACGCGCATTCGTAAACATATTTTGCGCACACGCACATGCATATTCACAGCCGTAAAGGTCTTACTTGCATGCGTCAAAGCGACGCATGTGCAGAAAGTTTGTAGCTTTGAGGTCCGGATTATGGGTGTCCGAATTAACGACTTTTGACTGTATTACTCCATAAATTTTACATGCTTTCCTTCTTCGGTTCATATTTGCTTTTGTAATAAGAAAATAATAATTTTTTTTCACTATTAATGTGCTTTTTCCTAGACAGATTCAATTGAACATTAAGACTCCTATGTGGAGCACATGGTCTATTTGATAAACGATGTCTGTCCAAGGAAATGAACTGGTCATAGATATGAGTTATCCCAGATATGAGTTATAATAAAAAATAATATCAGAATTATGTTTTTGATTAAAATTTTGTCCTCAATTTTCTCAATTCCTCCTATTGGAACTAGTTTTGGATATTACTATACAAAGGTATATTATTGGTCTATGGAAAATGGTGCTGACAGATGTAACATGCTGTTTTACATGTCGATGGTAAACATGTTAAAATTGTTTTTGTTCCAAGCTATTAAGCTGTTTCCTTAGTTTTAGTTTTTTTTCCGTTTTCATTGATTTTTAATATTTATATTTTTTAAACACAGTTCAAGAAATATTTTAATACACATTTCAAAATTTATTTCTTATATTTAATTTTGGAAATAAGTAGAATTTGAAACATTGTTTAGTATTAACTTATTTCTGTTAGGTGGTGTGAGTCCTATTGTAAAGCAATCTGGTGTGCAAGATGATCCCCAGAGAAGGAAACCTGATATTAATAGAGCCAAACTGTATTTGGGATGGAGTCCCAAAGTAAGTATTAATGTTATTATTGAGCATTTCATTTGCCGAATAGAAATTTCATTATTTTACATGGCCAAATTCTAAATTAAATGAAGCACGATAAAGTAAAAATATGCATGTTTAAACAAATGTAAAATTTTAAGCATGTGTATTTTTACTTTGTTATGCAAGTTCTGTTTTTTTCTGAAATATCTTCAACATCAAATTAAATTTAAACTAATTAAAATAGAGACTTTTTTTTTTTTTTTTTTTTTTTTTTTTTTTTTACGATTCTACCTGCCTTCACTTCAAGTTTGAATTGCATTTTCTATGTTCAAAGCTAGTAATTTGAGATGTAGGTTTAATGATATGAAGCGAAGAGAGTTTTAATTCCTTTTTATTAATGAAATGCATAAGAATTTTATTTTATCATTCACGATGCTTTTGAAGTTATAGCAGCTTAAAATTTCTATTTCATTTTTAGAGGTTACTCTTGTACCTACCTCTAAACGAAAAGCCATATCAGTCTGTTTGTATGTCTGCCTTGCCTGTTGCTCTAGCATTTTATCATATGATTTTGAATATTTTGATTTACTTACTTTATTTTCCCTTCACAACAACATGACTAGTGTCTGGAGTTTTTTAGATTGATAGTCTTGAATGATTGCATATGTATTTCAGATCTATTTTTTCAAGCCTCAAATTTGTAAAAAAGATAATTATTTTCTTTCCCGATAGAAACAAATAGCGTACAGAGCTTCATGTTGCAGCATATAGCAAATTAGACACTTTAGCAGAGTGGGTTTGATGATAAAAGAACGGTAGTAGAATAGCATTTGCTGGGGGAATAGCAAGAATAAAAAACTGTACAGAATATAGAGTAGACATGAAAAATAAATGTTTAGGGAATTTGGTCTTCAGGATTATTCATAAGCTGGAAATATAACAGCTCTTTAAATTCTATGAGAGTGAACGCCTTATTTTCTCAGAAAAGAGCAGAACTTTTGCAAGGACTGAATATTATTTCTGTTGTTTTTCTTCAACAATCCATTAGGATACGATTGACATTAATGATACACTTTACCATTATCTTGTTATTTGAATTTCATTATCACGGTGGAGAGCTCATGGGATGGTCAGAATTTATGTAATTTTTGTGAGATCATCACTCTCATTTCAGATAGAGTAGTTTTTAACTTTTTGAGAGGATAATAGTACAGGAGAGTGTTTGCAATTTAAATTTTACAATAAAACTTCAAATGTTAAGTTATACCTGATTGAAAGTTGTTTAATCCATAACATTACAGTTTTGAAACTTGATTAGGTATGAGAGAAATAAAAAAAATATATTAGCAATGATTTAAATGATAGAGTTTCATAGTCATGCCATGAAATAAAAAAATATCTTACGTTTTAGACTGGCACATGCAAAGTTTTGTGTGACACAATGCATAGCAAGTAGAAGCCCCATTAAAAAAAAAAAAAAAAAGAGTTAACAGCAGAAAACAGTTTCTGTTTTAAAATATGCAATGTGTTTTTATATTGCTGCTGTGAAACAGGCATTTGCAAGATAGTCCAATGCAATTTTACAAACCCATTGGATCATTCAGTGATGGTATTAACAGTATAAGAATATTGGTTACCTGTGTCATGAACCCCGGATGGCCAAATGATTCTAGTGAAACAACAGAGAAAATTAGTATCATATATAAACCCTCAAAACTAAACAAATTTTGCTAACTGTGAACATGGTATTACTGCAGCCAACCATTTGGAAAATGTTTTATGACTACAGAACTGATTATATCCATGTGCTCCTCTCTATTACGTGTAGCATTATAGGAGTTTCCAGGGCTACACTTTTACAGCTGTTTTGATGATCCCAATGAGCAAATGTCATAATGCATGTAAGCTGAATTGGAGCATAACTTAATAGGTAGCCATGTAACAAGAGGAACACACATTGAACACATCACTGTAGGATCATGACTTAAATTTGAGAGATTTGTACTTCTTCACATGTTCTCATTTTTATATTTGCAATACTGTGTGAAATATGATGTTTAAAAACCCAGTGAATCATTTGTTGTAATAAGCATATATTTTGACTAGTCTGGGTCATAACATTGCAATAAATATTCGGCTTAAAGCTGCTTGCAAATTCTTAATTGCTTCTAATTTCCATTAAACATACAGCAAAATTATTTTGCATCATTTGCTTTAGAAATGAGTGTATGCATTTTGAGTCTTTAGAGAAAGTCTGCTAATTTTATTTTTTCTTTCCTTAAGATATAAGAACTCATGCTGCATTTGCTTTGAATTCAAATTACTTTTTTTTAAACAAGTGTTCCTTCTCAATGGATGTTAATCATAACTTAAATTTATTAACTATTTTAACAATGTAACTTCTTCCTGCAGAAATTATTTTTACTTCTGCAGAATCCACAGAAATTATTAGTATGTTTGGTCATTCCTCTTTTTTTAAAAAGTAAATGGTATACCTGTGTTTTAACTGACCTTTTCAAACTGGTGCATACTGTAGAAAAGAGTAAAAAACTATTGCTTCAGACAGACATAAATGGTATTGTAAGTCAAATTCTTAGTATTTTAGTGCTTTTAAATTATCCATAAATCAGATCATATTTTTCGGATAATAATTTTCCCAAATGGCATCCCTTGTGATGTAGTTGTTGTGTTAGTTTTAATTTTCTTAATCTCATCAGCAAATATCCAAACCAAAATTAAGAAGGAAGTATTAAATGTTTGTTGGCTGGTTAACAGAAGCGTAGCTAGGGTTTTCAGCACTTGGGAACAGCTGAAGATTTTGCGTGCCTTTCTGTGTGTCATGGAGGTAGGAAGCCTTTCTTACCTCCATGCTGTGTGCCACGAATGGAAAACACTTCATTCTAAAATTCCGTACCATCAATTTGGTGCCCCATAGATGCTGTGCCCAGGGACAAATATCCCTCCTTACCCTACCCTAGCTACGCCACTGCTGGTTAAATAGTGCTTTCCTCCCATCTAATATTTAAAATTTTCAGCTGATGAAATAAGAATATTTTTATCTCTGATTGAAAATTTAACGGGGTACAGCATGATTAAATACATAGACTCCAACTACTACGGATTCTCCGTAGTTTCTACGGAAATTCATGAAAAACTACGAGCTACGAAAAGTATGGAAAAAACTACAGATTTTACAGAAACAAGAGCAGGAGAACCAGTACGCAAAACGGAACCAACTAATTCATCCGATGATTGGCTGAATACTCGTGTTATCATATATCACGTGTTGGAGTGCGTTCCTAGTTTTGAAGAATTAGCCAATCGTAGATCAGTAACTTCCAACCGTTAATGGACTTGTCAATAGTTACCCCACAACATATCTCTACCAAAGAATTTGTATTGTACATAGACATTCTATGTCTCTACTTTATCTGTCTCCCAGGTTCCTTCGCTGCTGCGTGTTTAAGGCTACATTCGGCTCCATTGTTTAGATTACGGCGAGAGCTTAGCGTGTGTCTTGTGAACTGTGATTCAAGGTGAAAGTTTTTTTTTTAATAATGCTACCTCGAACGAAGAAGCCAAAATTATCAAAGCAGAAGTTTAAAGATTCATATTCTTCAGAATTTCCATGCATTAAAGCGTCCGAAATTTCTGTGAATCACGCACACTGCAGTGGTATGCAACAGACTTCTCAGTTGCTCATGGCGGAAAAGATGACTGTAAACGGCATGTGTTTTCCTCAAAAGCTATAGAACTTGGCACCGTAAAATCTAAAGAAATAACAAATTTCTTAATAAAAGATGATGAAACAGATCCTATAAAAGCCGAATGCTATTTTGTTGCATTTTTTAATTGAACATATCTACCGCTTTCTGTTTCGGATCATTCCAAAGAGCTTTTCAAAGCAATGTTTCCAGATTCTGCTATAACAAAAAACTTTAGCTGCGGTCATACCAAAACTGCTGCTATGTGAAAACGCTTGCAGAAAATACTGTTGCTGATATTATAAAATCAGTGTACAGTACCATCATTTTCTCTAAGTACTGATGGAAGTAATGATAACAATGATAAACAAACTGTACCCATTGGTTATAACATACTACAGTAAAGAAAGGGAGTGATAATTGACTTCATTGATTTCTATTTTAGAATGCACGATAATACAGGAGAAGGTATTTTTTAATTGTATAAATGAAAACTTTAAAAACAAAGGTGTAGAATGGAAAAATTGCTATCATTTTCTTCAGATAATGCTAGTAATATGATTGGAAAGTTTAAAGGTGTAGCATCATTTATCAAAAATGCATCAACCAAGTATAATCACCCGAGGTTGTCCGTGCCACCTCTTGCATATAGCTGCAAAAAAGCTACTGAAAAATTAATTGGCTCAGAAATTGAAATGTTGATAATAGATATATATTTTTACTTGGAGAAAAGTTCGAAACGGAAGCATGTTGCTCAAAGTTGCTTCAAAGTTGCTCAACAAATTTTGGGACAGAATGCAAAATCTCATAAAATTTTGAAATATTGCAGTACGAGATGGTTGTCTCTTTCAGAATCTATAACAAGGATTTTGGAACAGTGGGATGCTGTGATAAATTTTTTTGGAGATAAACCAGATAATAGTGAGAATGAAGGAAAGAGATTGCAAAATTAAAAAAATTTTACAGTCAACCGACCACCAAATTTGTACTTGTTATTTTTGAAAAATACTTTGCCTTTGTTTATAACAGTAAATATTAATTTGCAACAACAAGCCCCTTATATACATAAATTGAGAAGAGAACTTTTTGAACTTATCCAGAATAAAGATATGAATTTATTTGTTAGATTCGTAAAACCATCAGTAATTTCTAAAGAAAATGAAGATGTTACTCTAACGTCTATTCCATTTCAGAAGTATAGTAAACAAAAAGAAAATGAAAATTTAGTGATTGGTGTGGAAACCAGACTATATTAAAAAATGCCAAGTTGAATGAAAGTGAAGTGAAATCATTTTCAATTCTGTGCGAGCTTTTTTTGTAACTGCATGTTCATATATAATTGATAAATTTCCACTGAGTGATCCATTTCTAAAAACATGCTGAAGTTGCTGACATCAACTTGAGAACTGAAGTCTCATTTTCATCTGTTCTTTACTTGATGAATACTTTTCCATCCATTATTGATGAAAAATGTCTTAATCAAGTAGAAATTGAATTTTCCATGTATCAAGTAGATGATTTGAAAGAAATTGTAGATTTGCGTATTGATATAGCATGGGGAGAAATTGCCAAATTAAAAAATATGAATGGGTGTATTAAATACAAAGTATTGCCTTCTGTAATGCTTGCTGTCTTAATAATACCTCATTCAAATGCAACTTGCGAAAGAATTCAGACGGAATTTCGACCAAATTTAGGTCTTAAAACTCTTGAAGCAGTTTTGATTGAAAAAATAAATATGCAGGCAAATGAAGAACTGTGTTATAAAAAAACATTCTCAAAATCAGAACTTAAGCTTGCTAAGCATGCTACATATAAATCTTTGCATTCATAAATTATGCGTATTTTGTTTAATACTTATATGTATCATTCTTGGTTATTTAAATTTTATTTCCCTGTAGAAATCATATCCAGATAAAGATATGATTTATAGCTTCTGATTTTTTCTATGATTAGTAGTGATTTGAAGTACTTTTTATTAGTGAATGCTTGAGGAGTTAAAGAAAATTTCTAATTAAATGTGCATATAATTTACAAGGTATATTTTTAATTATTCAGTTTTTATATGTATATGGATTTTAAATGTAATAATTGATTACAATTAATTATTAATTTAAAATTAATGAATGGTTAATTACAACATACGCTACGCGCACATTTTCAAAGTTGTAAAAATGTCGTTCGCGCGTTGACTACTGACAAGGTTTGCTGAAGGTTGGAGTCTATGTTAAATATATTGATAAATGCTTCAATTATCTTATGTAATCCAAGAAAACTAGTTGCAAGCCATAATGAAAATTGAAGAAATTCGTGTGACCGACTGGAATTCTTTGACATAAAAAGTCCCCCTCCCACTTCTTTCTTTCCCTTCAAAATCATTGAGTTATTAACATTCACAAGAAGACATGTTAGATCCAATTGTTCATTTTACTAATTCATCATCCCGAATCACCACAGGACATAAGCTGCTATTGTATCGACAAGGAATGAATAACTATAGATAACACATAATCTAAGTTTTAAAGGAGAATAAAATGAATGCCATCTTTGTTAGCCCGTTTTATTATCATACTGTCTGTGATGGCACTAACTGCCATCACAGACAGTATTCTAATAATGGAGAGCAAAATTAAAATGTGCTAGAATGTGATATCTTGAAAATGGCTGAAAATATGTAATCTGGAGTACTTCTAAAATAAATTTCCTGTACTAATTTCTACTAATCAGTTTAAAAGCATATGTTCTTTACTGTTGTATGTAAACTAAAATTCCTAAATATTCGCACTTGAACATATTGTTCATTGGAGCAAAATTAAAAGCTGCATAAAATCATAATTACTTGTGTGTGATGCAACATCATGAAATGCTAATTATTTAGGTAAAATTATTATAAATTATTTCCATGGCACTTGAGTTATGATTGGTTTGCTTACTTTCTAAAGAACTTTCGAGGCATTTTTATTAGTCAGTATTAGTTTTTCAATTAAAAAAGAACTCATTTTGATTATTTTTAATTTCTTCAGACTGCACTTTTTTGCCTTGTTGTTTGACTTATGATGTAATTTTTTATTGGTAGGTATCATTAAATGCTGGTTTGAAGAAAACTGTGGAATATTTTGTGAAAGAATTGATGAAAGAAAATGCCAAAGATGTATATTCCTGAAGCTGTATATTTCAGTATTATTTATATTTCCCTCACATCTTCCATCTGATCACTCAACTGAGCTGTAAAAAGGCTACAAGGCAGTGTAGATAAATTCACCAACATGCGACAAAGATTCAGGGACAGAATCACCAACATGCAGATTCAGGACAGTTTTAATATTGTTGATAAAAACTGCATAAATTGGAAAAGAATCAACTTTCTCCATTAAATATCATGATCATTGAATTTTAAAATCTGTGAATTTTGAACTTGAGATGAGATATGTGAAATCAGAAACGACTTCAAAATGCACAATATTCTTGAATCTGAACACTGAATCACAATACAAACTTAATGCCACTAATTAGTTCTTTAGCTACCACTGTTATCCATAGTCTAAATTATAATCATATTTGCCAAATTTCCTGCTGCACTTCACGTATTGTGCAACTGAGATAAGCAAGACTTTTGTTGAATAAATGACACTATATAGAGATTTAAATTTCTTTCTAATGAAGATTATGAAAAATAGATTGGACTCTCAGATATCTATTAGAAGTTGCCAAAGTGTGATGTCTTCTAATGTAACTGAGCTATTTTTAATTTAAAAAATAAAATTTGTTACATTTATTACATGCCACTTTAAATAATAATTGCAACATGCATTTGAAAAATTGTTATGAAATAATTGTTTTATTTTCAGAAAATAATTATATGTATATATAAATTATTTCATAACTGTATAATAATTCATTACATAAATATGAATTATCATTTTTCATTTTTATGAAGAATTTGGATTAAATATTATAAAAGTTGTCTTTGGGCTGTATATAGAATTTTTTTTTAATTGTGTTGTTTATGAATTCTTCCATTGTTGAGTAAATTATATGAAATTTGATGGCAAAGCTACATCACTTATTTTATAATTAAATATTTTACACTTTTAGAAAGCCATTTTGAATCTTTGTATGGTTGTTATGTAACCTTTAGTAATTTTGTTATTATTAAGAATTTAAACTTGTTAAAATTTGAAATGTATTCATAGGTCATTCATGTCATTTCTTGAGCTGGTAATGACCCCCTATTTGGGTATATATAATGAGTTAATACAGTCAAAAGTCGTTAATCCGGACTCGTCGGGACTCTGGCGATTCTGGATTATCGATTTTTCCGCATTATAGATCATCAGTTTAAATCTGGTAAGATGGCATGCAGAAATTATAAAATTAAAAATATGAAACTGTAATTTATGAAATAAAGAACAATTATGATCTAAAGGAAATCAAAATTTACAAAAATTATTTATTTGTTTACTTTATTAAACATTTCTTTCAATGTAAGTTGTTTAAGTTGCTTCATTTTATGTGATAATACTTTCTCTTTAATTCTATGAACAGACATAATTTCTTGTTCAGTTACAAAGTTCCGCTGTTCAAGTCCCATAATTGCTGTGTCAAGAATACCGACTAATTTGTCAATCGAAATTTTTTCGTTTTCAATAACCTCTGTGTCACTTTCTTCACTATCGGAAGCGAATTATAATGACAAGGAATTTGATTTAAATCATATCAAAGACGGAGTACATCGAGATGAAATACCACATTTAGTAAGGAATTATAAGCCAAATAAAATAAAAACATCTGTCCTGAAGATAAGGCTAGTGCTGACAGATCAACTTCCAATTCACTGCATGCCACGGCTTCCCCCCCCCCCATCGCAGAGCAGCGTGAAATTGATAAACAGATTTCGAAATGATTAGAGAAACAAAGGATATGCCTTTATCCATTTTTTGCAGCAATTCCACTTTTTGTTTGATGGACATCAAAACATATTTTCGCTTTGTAGATCCTTTGGGAGCTCCAGCATCGGAAATTCTATTTGACATAAACAAAAGTTTAAGCTTACTTTTATTAAATAGCTCTAACAGTCTGCAAAAAATAATAAGCCGGATCCAATTCGAAGATTAAGGAACAACGCAATCTGCAACATTAACTGAAATGGATAATTAGATAATTTTAGCTTATACCGTCCGTTATACATTAAATGCGCATGCGTCAACGCGAACGCATGCGCAGAAAGTTTGTAGCTTTGAGGTCCGGATTATGATTGTCCGAATTAAAGACTTTTGACTGTACTTGAAATTTGAATTTCCGTGCCGTTTTAAGTTTAGTATAAATAAAAAGGAAATAATTTGAAGTTAGACAAACAGTTGTAAATATGTTGTTATTCCTTAATCTAGACAAAAGTGAGAAATTAAGGGGTAATTTGAAATAAAAAATCAAATTTTATTATATGATTTTGCATAAAATTTGACTAAAATTCTCTGTTTGAAATACTTTATCTGATCGGGATTTCAAATGTTCTTCACATGTATAACATTAAGCAGATTAAGAATTTGTTGGTTGTGAACTTACCTAGTAAATAATAGCAGAAGACTATCGGGCAACCCGCCAGATGTGTGGTTTGCATCCAAAGCAAAATTTATAAGTTCTATGTACAGCTGAAAAGAAAATGTATAAAAACATTTTAGTATGAATGAACTGAGTTCACTCTTTCCAAGCAGCAACCAATTCGTAAAAATGTTTTTGTTGCCAAACCATTAAACACAAACTTTTGACATTTCTTTTAATACATATACGAGTATGTAGGACATCATGATTAGCCCAAAGAAGCGTTACCTAGAAGGCCTATAGTCTCCAAATGGCATTTTGCCGTGGTTTACTATAAATGACATATCTTTTTTTAAATTGTTGCCAACAGATATTATCACCCTGTATTATATTTAATCCTTTGAGTCTCAGGGGGTATTGAAAAAACACTGTTCAAGAATTCCAAACAGCGCTTTCTTTAAATGATTATTAAAAGACCCAAGCAGCGCAATAGCGCTTGTTTTATTTTGTGTCAAGAAATACCAAGCGGCACGATAGTGCTTTGTTTATTTTACATTGATGAATCCCAATCTGAGCAATACCACTTCTTGTATTTTTTAGGTAATGCGATTCTCGTCTTTTTCTCATTGCTCAGTAACATTTATTTTTGCAAAGCAATCGAACGTATTCTTGCGTGTTTCTCATTTTGTCTACGTTGTTCGAAATGTGCTGGGTATTCTTGACATAAAATCTCAACAGTGTGATCGTGCTGCTTGGGTCTCAAATGGTTAAAGAAATTAAATAATGAAGAATCTGCTTGAATGTATATATGTTTGTCGCATTCTGAAAAAAGACAGTCGAATTTTGAATAGCACAATCTCCACCTTAACAGGGGAACCTGGAAGCCTGAATTTTGAATTTCTAATTTAATTTATTATCCATTTCATATTTTGTAAAGCTTTAACGAATTTTTGATTAACAGACTCAAGGATTTCAAAGCGAGTAATGGCAACACTGTACGGGGGGGGGGACATTTTTATTTGCAGCGTGCGACACTTTGTTGGAAAGTCTAAAGATATGCTGTTTTTAAATATATTGTGATATTGCTGTTGAATTGAATAAATAAAGGTAACACACAAATCGTTAGAAAAACACCTGTTTGGGCATAGTAGAATAAAATTTTTAACATAAGTTAAAAACTTTAAAAGTTTATGTAACTTAAACTTGGTAGTGTAAGTTACATAAAGTTTTAACTTTTTTTTTTTTTTTTTTTTTTTTTTTTTTTTTTTTTTTTAAAATTTAATGTAATATAACAACTTTTTCTCAAAATCAATAAAAGAATCTACATGGCAGTAACATATGTCAATTATCCTATATTGATTCAAGAAGTTACCAATAGCACCTATTTATTAAAATGCTGATATTACGAAATATTTTTGACATACATTGACATCACATGCAATCGTGTGCTTCCTTCAATGTCAGAATCTAACCTTATATAATAATAATAAGGTGTTTAATGTTTGGCAATGCTATTTTTTATTTCATATTTTGCAAAACTTATAAATTTTTTATTCACAAATTCTACGATATGAAAGCGAGCAGTGGCAACACTTTTCGAAATAAAGCAGATTCTTATCTCCAGCACTTAAGACTGTTGCCACTCAGAGAAATAAGTTTACAGAGTTTTTAATCAATATCTCCGCTAGTTGAAGTTGTATGAAGATGAGAATTGTTGAAATGGCTTCCCACGAATTTTTGGAGTCCAGAATAATATATTTAAAGTTCGACAATGCTATTTTTGTTTCATACTTTGTAAAAATCCAAATTTTTAATTAGCAAATTGTTCAATTTGAAAAAGAAAAATAGCAACACTTTTCGAAAGAAAGCGGATTTTTATCTGCGGCATGCGAGACTGTGGCCACTCAGAAAACATTAGGGCAAAAATTAGTGCTTTTGAAGTTTTTAATTAGTATTTCAGCTGATTAAAGTTGTACGAAGATGAGAATGGTCAAAATTGCTTCATACAAATCTTTGGAATCCAGAAATACCACTCTCGAAACTCAACTTCCAGCCACTGCAAAGGAGATAATGCCACAAACAAACAGACGGGTCAAGCACAGATTTTAATAGTATAGATATCTACGTCATCTATACTTGGAGCAGGCCCTGCTGATATTTAATTTCTAAATGCAAATTATGTTAAGAAGCATACACTTTGCATATAAAATGAAAATAAACTGAAAAATAAAACCATATAACATAAGTTACATATAAGATTTCAAGATGATTACTTAGTGGAAATACACTCTATAACAAAAAAATCGACGCACCAAGAAGGAATCATCGGATTGCTTTGAAATTTTGTATGCATGAATGTTTTGACCAAATACGCAAATGACTAAAATTTGGTGTCCTGTGAATGAATAGTGTGATCTCCAGTGCATCCAGCAGATGCATACAAGAAGCTGTTCTTGAACTGTTGTTAAAAATTTTTGTTCCATTGGGATTTAGGATACCTTTCAACGACAAAAAATGCCTCACTGCAGGATTCGATCTCATTATGAGTAACTGTCAGACTTTGAAAGAGGTTGTATCATTGGATTGAAAGAGGCAGGTTGGAGAATTGCTCATCATATGAGTCTATGTACTAAATATCTCGTAATTGTACTCTTTTGCTATCGAGAAAATACGAGAATGTTCTCGTGCATTTAAAAAGCTTATAAAAGTTGGAGGAAAACATCTCAATTCAGTTGTTTAAAACACTGTTGTTGTTTATTGTAGGGAATTTGTGGTGAGATTGGATTAGCATCTTCTACTTTGAATTGTGTTCTCCAAAACGTTTTAGTAGTTTAAAATATAACTGCTGTGAGATATTGCGATAGTTACTACTATCTCTGAGAAAATTTCAGCATTTTGTTTTTATTCGTTGTAATAGTAAATTTTATTCACTTTTCATCCGACTTCTGCAGTCAATTTATTATGAACCTATACGCACGCAACACTCTTTGGTGTCAGAAGTGGGATTTTTGAATGCCAATCGGAAGAGCAGTTGAGACAGCTGATTGCAGCCTCAGCTGTCTCAACAAAAACAGAAATAAAAGCTAGCCAAGAATTCGTTAAAGAGGTGATGAAGCGGTTCAAGCAAAGATGGAAGCTGGCCGAGAAATGATGGAAGCTCGTCAAGAATCAGTTAAAGAGATTACCTGTATAATAGAAAACAAATTTGAGTCTATGGAAGGCAGAACAGATGCTGTTGAAAATAAAGTTGGAGAAATTTAAGAAAGAGTTTCTTCTGTGAAAGAACAACTAGAAGAGAGAGTTTTTGATGTGGAGCAACGAAT